AGAAAATCAAATCCAAATATGTATCTAAAACTGATAGTTTAAGATTCCAAAATTTCTAAAAAAAAACACACACTTTTGCTTCATTGCCTGGTCCGATTCCGACATCCGTCTCTAAAAATCTGAGAAGCCTTGTTAGTTGATCTCTGTCAGTAAATAGTGTGTTAGTTGTTTCAGCCATAGTGAATGGCAGTCTTGAAGACTAACTTCTCTGTCTTTGTTCAGTTCTGATGTGGAAAAAAAACTACTACTGAGCAAAGTACATTTTGTCCGAGATGCTGTTTATTTTATAAAAAAATATTTACGATTAACATTTTTACTGTTTAGACAAGAGCTGCACACCCACGAGTCTCGCCTTCCTTCTGCAGATTTTGAGCCATGTTACACTTATGCATTTATATATGCAATTGTGCAGACAAATTTAAAATTTAAATCCAAAAGCTCTTCTGTTTTTTTTTTGCCACATACACTTAAGTAATAGTGTTTAAAATATTGCAAACAAATCTATTTTAGAATGGTATTTTTTGTGTAACGCTACAAACTTCATTATAATCTTGTATAATATCATTTTAGTGAATTTAATTAGTTTTACAATGTTGAGATTTAATAGTACATTTATTACTTTGTTCCCCCAACCTTTATTGTCACTAATCATTAAAGAAAAAAGAAAATTATACAACGTCTCATAATGACACTTTTATCAATTTTGAAAGAATTCCTTAGCATATTATGTAATATTTTCCCAAGTGTTCTTAAAAATACATTCCAAGTATAAGCAATTCCTTCAAAGTAATATCTAGACTTACCTGAGTCTTTAATTTTAATAAGTGCTTCCAACTAGACCAATGGTTCTCTACCTTTCTAATGCTACGACCCTTTAATAGAGTTCCTCATGTTGAGTCGACCCCCAGCTACAAAATTATTTTTTTTGTTACTTCATAAATTTAGAGCATTTGTGTTTTCAGACGGTCTGAGGCGACCCCTGGGAATGGGTTGTGCGACCTCTCGAATAGGTCGCAACCCACAAGTTGAGAACCGCTGAACTAGACAGTCTCATAACTCATAAAATATCAAAATAGTGTTAGAACTTTGTCTTAATTAATGAAAAAAATGCTTTCAATTTCTTATCATGTCAACCAAAATGTAGGAATCATTGTGAACGCACATAATTTTATTGTTTTCTTATTTAAATAAAGTAAGTGATATTAATATAGTGCACTAAGTACTAATACTAATACATACAGACTACGGAGACTACACAATGACAAACACACTAAATTTTAACCCAGGCTTTGTATGTGTATTTTTTAAAATTATTGTCATTTTTTAATAATTAATAATTATATTTGCTAAATAATAGTAACCTATGGGCCATGGGAATGATGATCTGCTAACTATTTATTAAACACTTACTAATATATTACTTACATTTAGTTCATTTACTACTAAATATTATTTAGCCTATTTTATTATTAGCCTAGATTATATGTCCAAAACTTTTGCGGCATTCAATAAAGGGGTCTTGTGAGGTAATAGGAGACCTATACATGGTCCCAAAAAGTTGTGACTTGATGCCCCATATTAATGTTACAGAGAACCAGCACTGACTTTAGTTACGTTTAACTCGATCTACTTCTACAGTACATTTTTCTCACTTACACTGCATCATCACTATGGCTGCACGACGCCAATGTTTCTAAATTTAGACGACTTCCGCTGTAAACAAAATAATCAAACTGCCCTAAATTTGCTACACCGATAACGAATAAAAAATGTATAATATGGAAAGAAGTATGAACAAAATAAAAACAATATTCCAGATCATGTAAAACCGCATCCTCATCTTGGTTAATGTCCTCGAACCCGGTGCTTGTTTTACTTCCGCGCGTTAGATCTTGAGTAACGGATCTCAAGTTATTTATCCGACATGGGTCTTGGACAAATTTGGAAGGTCCAATCTTTTTGTAAAACAGAGTAGCTTGTCCTTTGATGACGCCCACTTCCCCTCCCCCGCCCCCCCCCCCCAAAAAAAACAAAAACAAGCCTGGTTGTTCTAAAATCATAAAGTGTGACAAAATTTCAAATAGAAAAATCATTTACGGATCTCAAGTTATTTATCCGACATGGGTCTTGGACAAATTTTGAAGGTCCAATCTTTTTGTAAAACAGAGTAGCTTGTCCTTTGATGACGCCCACTTCCCCCCCCCCGCCCCCCCCCCCCAAAAAAAACAAAAACAAGCCTGGTTGTTCTAAAATCATAAAGTGTGACAAAATTTCAAATAGAAAAATCATTGCTCTATTTGAATTTGAAGTCATTGAAGTCAATTATTTATTAAATCAGAGCTAACTACCGGCTCAATCTGTTATGGCCTAGTTATATGTACACCATAAGACATTTCAATTGAAATTTTAATTTTCAATTACAAATGCTTATCAAGAAATTTCAGATTTCTTAGACACCTTGTCTTTGGGCGCGTACATTAATTAGTCAACAATTTTTAAGCAATGTTTGACACCCCTCCCCCGGCCAAACGTTCAATAGCCCCCCTAATAATTTTATATAACTAAAAATTATATAACTATTTTAATTTACACTCATTAAATTGGTTAAAACAATGTAATAACCAGTTAATTTTTAGGTTAAAAATTTTAAGAGAGAAAACGTGATTGTTGACGTCAACTAATCTCACCTCCCCTTCTCAACAATTCTCAAACATTTTCACCCCCCCCTTTTGTTGACATAATTAATGAACAACCCCTTTCCTTGTGACACCTATTACAGTCTGTGTCCTGTATGTTAGAAAACGTAGACAGCCAATTTTTAACAGAAGTTGGCACCAGTGGTTGAGGTTTCTTTTTTGGAGGATATCCTCCCCAAAAATAGATGATGTATCTGAGACTGAGTTAAATGTCACTTTCCGCCCAGCTATTCAACCCATAAGCTTGGGGCAACTCCAGATGAATCCAATTTTTTTTATAATTTCTTTGATTTCGTCAATGTTGACACTATAACACGTCACATGGTGGACATTGTTAAAAAGACATTTATAAAAATATTTTTGGAAAAATGTTTTTAAGAGAAATTGCAGTGAGAAATGGGTAACAGTAAACTTTTAAATAAAATTTTAATGTATTCATTTTTTGTTTTATTATTTTATTTTGAACAAACTTCTGTTCGAACAAACTCCCGTTTAACAAATTTACTTAACACAGATTTCTGGGGTTGCACTGATTAATCGGCCTACTGAAAATGTTAAATTTAAGTCTAGAAAGCTTTTTTTTTAAAATGAATATGTTATCATACTTGATGTGATTTTTTTATCAAATTTTATCAAAATGGATTTGTCCAAAACTCCACTTTTAAGCCTGTTATTATATTTATTAACTATGATAAGCATACATCTCACCATTCACTGTCTATTGTTTTCCTTATCTTTATATATGATGTTGTCAATATTTACACAGTGACATAGCAGATATTATGTAACCAACTCTGCGGATGGTTTTATGTTTTTTAACCCGTAAAAACTGCACTAGTGGCACTAGCATTAGAGTCAATGTCAGATATCAATTCCCTGCTACTACTGTTTTAATTTTCAATTAACAAATGGAATTTTCGCATCTCGTATCTATCCCATTTTATTCTTATATCTCGATTAGTAGAGTGACAAACACAATGGGCATATGGTAATGTCATATGGGGTTTGTTTGTACTCGGCGAAGAAGTTGTAATTCAAGCTTGATGAGAGTCCGTCCATGTTCCATTGGGGGGGGGGGGGGGGGGGTCATGCACCTGGGGCTGGGGGCACGGATTAGTGATTTATGTGTGAATGTGATAAAAGTGTATGGGTACATATTACTATTACATTTACCCCAATTTGTGTTACACATTTGTGATAATTGGAAGGAAATCAACCAAAAAGAGTGACGTCTTTATGGTGGCCCATGGTAGTATGAGGAATGAAACTATGAATTTGAAGTCCTGTGCTCATTTATTAACAATTATCATTATAGCAAACTCAACTTTGATTGCTACACTTACAATGCACTTCTGAAGCATATCAGTTTTACTTTTTTTTTACTGTTTTTACTAACAAATCTGAACGAGTCTTCACATTTTTCGGGAAGTACTTGAATGTTTCCATGTTGATATTAATGGTATCACTGCAAAATATCCATCTTCAAAGCAAATCATACAAGTTCAACTTATTTTAATGTGTATTCATTTCTGTACTATAGAGTGACCAAACGTCCCGTAAAAACGGGATTGTCCAGTTTTCTCAAAATCGTACCCGTTGTCCCGAAAAAGTCTCTTGGGGCGCCTAAATGTCCAGTTTTTTAAACCAAATACATTTTCTAATCACTAAAACTTCCTAATTTTTAATATAACTTCAAGTAATATTTTGGCTACCTATGTTGCCAATGCCAGTAGTGGTGTGGGCTCGCGTGATGGCTTCACTTTCCCCCTCCACCATGTTAGTTTATGGCGGAGTATTCCAAAGAGTGGAACTATATTAAAAAGGGACGCTATGAAAGTGAAGTCAAGTGCACAGTTTGCAATAATATTTTTAGTATTGGTCATGGTGGACGTTCAGACGTAAAACAACACATCACATCAATGAAATATAGGAAAAGACTGATTGCCCCAAGTAGATTTCTAGGTTAGATTTCATAGTTAAAATGAGTATATTTCAATAAACAGTTTCCGGCGGAGGCACCCGGAACCCTCTTTAGCTGGAGGGTTCCCCCCCCCCCCTCCTTGAAATTGTCCCATTTTTTCCTAATCATGATTTAGTCACCCTGTGTATGTTACTAGGCTAAGTAGGAAGCAGAATGTTGAGTTGTGTTAAAAATTTCCTGATTTTTTTTTTTTTTTATCAATCTTTTTAATCTGTCCTCATATAATTGATAAAATGATATTTACTTTTGAGTCGTTTCTCCTTAAAACTCAGGTGTATGAACTGTATGTCCAAAAAAGAATTCCAATGGGGCCTTGTAGGTTTATGACTTTGCTTACAGCTGGATTAGTAATATTAATATCATATAGTCTTTACACACCATTGCCATCTGAAATTAATGAACCTGGACTTGCAAGAACATACATAGCAGCATTTAAGACAGCCAACTTTTTGGTGAGTTCTGGGAAAAAGTATTGTTGGAAAATGTTTGTGCAAGCATCAGTAAGATGTGAATGGCTGTGTAAAATTATAATCTTGTTGACATTGTGTTGGCAATAGGAATTAAAGATATGGTTTATTTTTTACACAGATCTAAAGGTTTTGATAAAAATGTATACACTCTCTTATAACTATTTATATAAGGTGCTTTAAAAATCTAGGTCCATTTATATATTTATAACATCATTTGGGGGCTATTAAATAAAAAGTGATCAACTTAAAATATTCAGTTAACTCACCCCAAATGTGATGGCTAAAAATGCTTCCATTTAGTGTTTGGTGTGATGTTAACTGTTATCTATGATGTTCCTAATCACAACTTCATTTTGGAAATATTCATAATTTTTCTGTCAGATATATTAACTTTCTCATGAAAATGAATTTATATAAGTCCTAATGCAGAAAAAAAAAACAGTAGTTCAACATTTAATATGAATTTATGTTCTTAGTCGTATGATAAAAAGCCTCTAGAAGATTTATTGAATTTTGAGTCATGCCTCTGATCCTGGTTGCCTTGTAAGTGTCAGACAAAATGAATCTGTGGTCTTTATACAAAGTTCCCTCTAGATGTTCTTCAGCCCAGATCTAGAAATCAGTAATTGGAAAATGATTTAAAAGTTAAGTTAAGCTTTATTTAGTTTAGGACAGGGTTACCCAAAATGGGGTCCACCACCCCCAGGGTGTGAGGAAAAGAGTTTAAAGGAACAGAGGGGAGATTAGCTTTTAATTAAGATATAAATGTTTATATATTTTTAAAGACTTTTTCACTAATATTTTCCATCATATAATAAGTCACACATTAATTGTCTTAGTTCTACATACATTACTCATTGCAAGTCAGTATATAAATTAGAAGTCCATTTTTTTTAATGCATTGCTACTTTTGTAGGGGTAAAATTGTAGAATAAAATATAAAATAAGACAGCTGAAATGTAATAACCGTTAAGTTTTATTTCAGCTAAGTGTTCTTTTTATTTAATTCTGTTTTTACTGTTGTTTGTTTCTAGATGAAGGCTTCTTTCCGACACGTTCGTTGTTTTGTTGCAATCTTTTTTTTCAGGTTTTCCCATACTTTGTTTCGCTCATTTCAATTTATCTAACCTGATTGCAGTCTCTCTCCCTTACTACCATTCTAAATCAACTTATACTGACAACTTGGCCTGTTGTTTTTCAAGCCCTAACATATCTTGTTGCACTATTTATTTAAATAGACTGAATGGTCATGGACAAATAATTCATTAAATAGTAATTTCCCAGTATTTTTAAAAATTATTAATCCCAATGATTTCTTGCTTTTTTTTTGTGCCTCTAGGCGTATACTGTGGAACTGTTCACTACTTTTCATCACGTAAATGTGATAAGATGGCTGGTGAATGTTGTTTATAGTCCTGTTTTGACCAGATATTCTGATATAACAGTAAGTCTTTATAAACACTCTAATGTTATTACATTTAAAAAAAAAAATTTACCCTGCAATGCTACTTACATATTTGAAATAAGTATCCTATGTTTTATTAAACCATGTAAACAAATTAAAATCACACCCAGGAACCATATTAGCGTTAGACTCAAAAATTTCTTATGGAACAAAAAAAGTTTTTCAACAAGTAGAATGAAATGAAACTGGAAATTTAGTTTGTCAGTTATGCTTATTTTCCAATTGTTGCTAAAATGGCTCATATTTTATTCCACTTAAACGTGCCTCAGTAGAGTTAAAAAAAAAAAATTTAAGGAATTGAAAAACCACTTCTTTTCAATAGTTTGAATGAAAAAAAAACAAAAAACTATTACCTAACATTCGCAAGAGAGTTACTGGTTACTGTGAAATTACAGATCACATCTATTTCCATTTCAGGTGGAGAACTTGAATTTCAATGGCATCCCTGTACGTTTGTACAGACCTAGCTCAGTGACGGATCTCACCCCTTGTATTGTGTACTTTCACGGCGGTGGGTGGATTTTGTTTTCTGTTGGTGAGTATTAGCTAATGCTTTGTTTCTCTACTTTTTTACTTTTTTTTTTATTCATGGCCCACTTTAACATTTGATTTCCATCCCCGGCCCACTCCTGTGTTATTATTCTCTTTTAATTTCCATTAAATCTTTTATTCAGAGTTGAAATATATACCACCAGTATGTAGGATATGAACCATTAAAAACACATTTCAATTTTGTTTATACATTAGTATTATTCCAACTTGTTGAGATTACTAATAATAATTATTAGTTTAAAATGAACAAAATAGATTAAATTTTAGCAGCTGAATGAAGCTAACGTCCTTGCGGGTGATGAAAATAAAAAAAATATTTGAATGTTTGTTGGCAGTGTTGTTAGTGATATTCAGAGTACCTCTGTTTTCCATATCAAGTTGGATACAAGTTTTAAATTTTAAATGCATAATTCAACTAAAGCCAGATTCCACTAAATAAGAATTAGGAAAGTGCCATAATTAAAAAAGTTTGCCATGAGAAACTTATTAGCAATTTCATTGTTTTTTTTTTAAAATCTTGCTTGTAGTTCAATAAGAGTCTCTTGTTTTTTGTGATAAAAAGAAGAAAGCATGGCAACACAATTCAAAAGAAGAGTTATATTGGGTCAGGAAAAGAGAAAAAAGTGTACCCATGGTGGGGAAACAGCCAATCTACAACATTTAAAAACGATACATATTTATAGTTAAAGTATCTTGATGACACACCACTTGGCCTGACACACCACTTGGCCATGGTAGAAACTTTTAATGAGAGATTATTTAAAACTTACGGCAAATTTCATTGTTTCTGTGAGCAGAAACACGTTCAGAAACACGTTCGATTTCGACATTTAAAAAATATATGCCTAGACTGAAACACAACAGTTTTATATCTTTATTTACAACTGCAGTAACACAATACAAGCTTTCTAGCAAGGCTCATTTTGGTCATGCCTAATTGTTTAAATTATTTTCTTTCAGATACTTATGACTTGCTTACGTCTGAACTCTCTAGATCGACTAATACCATTGTCATTGCTGTAGAGTAAGTTCGGGACAATACATATTTAAATCAACTGCATTTAAAAAAAATTAATTTATTGTTTTTTAACATATACAAATATAGTTTTAATTTCACTGAAATTCAAAATGAGTTGCATCATTTAAATGTTAGAATTTAAATTTATACTTTTAGTTATTTTCAACTACAGGTAAAGGTCTGTAAAAAGAATTTGGTTGAAATCTATTAAAGATTTAATGGATTAAAAGATTCAAATTACATGAGTAAACAAGACAGGTGAACCTTTATTTATGGCTGGACAAAACAAGGAATATTTTGGTGAACCACCTTCTTCAGTGAACAAAACTCATAGTTGTTTTGGTGAACCACCTTCTTCAGTGAACAAAACTCATAGTTGTTTTGGTGAACCACCTTCTTCAGTGAACAAAACTCATAGTTGTTTTGGTGAACCACCTTCTTCAGTGAACAAATCTCAAATGTTTTGGTGAACCACCTTCTTCAGTGAACAAAACTCATAGTTGTTTTGGTGAACCACCTTCTTCAGTGAACAAATCTCAAATGTTTCGGTGAACCCCCTTCTTCAGTGAAAAAAACTCATAGATGTTTCAGTGAACCACCTTCTTCAGTGAAAAAAACTCATAGATGTTTTGGTGAACCCCCTTCTTCAGTAAAAAAATATAATATATATATATATATATTTAAATTAAGGATTTTAAAGGATCATTAAATCATAATGTACTTTATTGAACAAACTACTTAGCTAATGCAAATAAAAAGGGATGGTCTATTTATCTTCAGCCCATAAAAACTGATCTCATGTTAATGTTTTTTAAGAATAACGGAAAGTTCAGATTACTGATTTCTAACACTTAGGACCAACACATAAAGTAGTCAGGGGGTAGTGCACAGTGGTTCACCAGAATCCTATTTTTACCATGGAATCATATTTGCCATAATTAACAGTGTTCATAAATGGCCTGTTAATATCTGTGTTGCTTTCAGGGGTGTTTGACCCAATCAGATACAGAGTTTCTTATTAATTTTAGTATTTGTAACAGTTTTGTTATTGTTATTATTTATCTTGAAACCATCAGTGGGATGTTTAACTGAAAAGCTACATTATTAAGGTTGTTATTGAACTAAAATAAACTAATATCAGCTTCACCTAATCCGGTCAAGTATTTAATTTGCTCCAAGTGTGCCCTAGATCAGTGTTTTCCAAAGTGGTAGTCCACTGATCGGCACTGGTCATTGATCCTTACTTTGCTGTCTGCACGACATGAGTCAATAAACTGGGGAAAAAGTTATATGTTTCTTGGTTTGAATGAATTTCATTTTTAATTTGCAAATATCACTGTCTACAATACAGCCATGATATTATTTATGGGGATGGGCAGTTTTTTTTACACCCAGTGGGACAGATTCAGGGTCCTGGTGTTACAAAAAAGAGCTATCTTCTCATTTTCTATAATGCATTCCACCCAATGGGGAGAAGTGAGAAGTGTATGCATCGAACCAGTGGTCATCACAAAAGCATCAAAACCGAAGGCTTCAAAACACTAACAGCTTAGTAATATAATCCTAATTTGACAAAAATTGTAACGTGGGAACTGAAAATGAAATTCGACCAAATTTTCGTTTGATCAAATTACCTTCGACAAAATTTCTTTCCATCAAATTTCCGGTAACCCATCATACTAGCTTGCTTGAGACAGAAATCTTTTGCTAAAATAAGGTGGTTTTGGATGCTGAATCTGTTTTTATCCTCAATGGGCTGTTTCCTTTCTAAATCTAAAGAATCCATAGCCTGACTAAAGCTTGTGGAGAGCTGATTTAAAATATGGCTGGCTACCCATGACCTCATTTCACATTAACAGGACAGTAACGTGGAAATAGTTTGGAAATTTAAAAAAAAAATAATAATTTGTTTTTCCCCCTATAGCATTTTTAATATATAAATTGAGATAAAATGCACTCATTTTTAACATATTTTTTAATGCAATAGATGAGTGGACATGAGTGTTCTTCTGCACGTTGACTTTTATTAACAAAGGCGTTATGACTGTAGCATTGAAAAGGGAACAACATGGCTGCTTGCATGCTTCCAATCTCTGGAAAAAAACTTAAAATCTGTGAGCCAATATTTTTGCAAATGTAATCAGCTAACACTATAACTGGGGCTGTGGAGATTTTACAATTCTGACTGAATTTAAAAAAAAAAAAAAGTTTCCTTTGTCTGTTGAGTAAGGGATAATTTTGCTCATTTCTAAAAGCTGTTAAGCTCCACAGCCTTGATATGAAGCCCATTGTTATTACTTAATAATAATTACCTTTTCATATTTCTTTTGATAACATTGGATTAATGATTGCTCACCCTACGGACAAATTTCAATCTCAAATTAACCTCTCACATGCATTTTCATATTACTTGATAACTGTAATTTTTATCTATGAACATATTATTGAATTGTTATCTTTTTTAAAAAGAATATTTTATTCGCATTTAATTCAAAAGTACAACTTTTTCTTTTAAAGGAGACAATCTTGATTTAAAGTTAGGGTAGTACCACTTCATATATTGCCTAAATATACACAGTTTTACCCAATACAACAATATTACTTTTGGGGTGTTCACAGTTATCGAAAGCCACCAGAGTACCCTTACCCGTATCCGTTTGATGATTGCTTGAGAGCCACTCAACATGTCTTACAGAACGGCCAGCAGTACTTGATAGATGTCAACAGAGTTGCCGTGGCAGGTTGGTCTGTTTTGCTATTGTACTGTAGTTTTTGCTGATGTTTAATTCCCAGACTTTTTTTGAGGACCTGGGGGGATGAAATGAGAAAGACCACCAAGTTCCACGATTAGGTCATCATCATCATTGAGATCCAGTGGCTATTAGGTCATGTGCCCTTCAGCCTGTGGCCATGGTGAAGAGTTTACACTTTCTGCGCAGCTGTTCTTTTTTTGTATATAGAGTGTTTGTGTAGTCTGGTGTGTTTGGTGGGTAGTTTAGGCGTAATTCCTAAAGTGCTGGACTGCAGGAGAGGTGTTGTGTTACTGTCTCATTTGAATATCTGCTGAGGGGGCATATTGGTTTTTTATCTGGTTTTATGCAGTTAAGGTGGGGATTGAGTAGTATGATGTCTTAGCGCAGACAAAAGATTATGACCTGTTCATGTCTTCGAAGGTAATTTATTGGATCTTTAGGATTGGAACTGGACATTGTGTGTGAATTCTATGTTTGGTTGTGTTGAGTGATGTAGGTATGTTTGGCTATGTTGAGTGATGTAGGTATGTTTGGCTGTGTTGAGTGATGTAGGTATGTTTGGCTGTGTTGAGTGATGTAGGCATGTTTGGCTGTTAATTGGATACTCCCAGTTTTGCTAGGTTGTCTGCCCTTTCATTTCCAGGTTTATTGTGTTCTGGTGACCATTGTAAGCTTTACTGCGTAGGTTTTGAGGATAGCTATTTTCATAAGTGATTTACTGTTGTGAGATCTTGATGCACAGCTGCCTGAACGATTGATTACCAGTCATAGAAGATAATGACATTTCCTTGCTTTATGGTATAAACTGTGAATATTGCAGATAGGTGGTGTAACACTGCTTCATAGCAGTCACTTCTGCTTCATAATTAGTCTAGATCACCCCACAGGGGTTGCAGAGTTTGTCACATGATCGGCCAGGGTATTCTATTCATACACCATTGCCTGCATGTAGGGCTCTTTTGAAAGCTTACCCATATGTATTACTTGGATTATGCTATGATTTTTTTTCTGCAGCTATCATTGTATGTAATGGGTCTGTACGTTTCTATCTTTTGGATTAAGTCTGTATGATATAAGTCGTTGTAAATTATGTTGGTTTTGTTCTGAATGTCTAATGATCAGGTGATGGAGCCGGTGGCAACCTGGCTGCAGCTGTTGCTCTCAGGCTGTCGGAAGAGGATCCAACTTACACACCACATATAAAACTTCAGGTAATCTTCACTGTAATGGACAGTGTGCTTGTCCCTTCTGTCTTTGTGAAAGTCTTAGAGGCCTTAGAGTCAAATGAAATCCAATGGGAGGCCACTTGAAGTGATTGCGAATAAACTATTGGAAAATTTATTTCAATTTTGTGCCCATATATCTAACCATGAATTAACTAAATTGATTTCACCATCTATTTAAATCCGTTTGGGGGGGGGGGATGTTAAAGATAAAGGAGTAAATATAGTGCTAAAATTAATTTTAATCTGACAAGAATGTCAGGATTTAGCTAATTCACTTAAAATAATTATTTACCCTGTACCATCAACCACCACCCAGTACCATCAACCAACTGCCCTGTACCATGTATATGAATTTTCCACATGAACCAGCTCCATCAGCATGTATTAAAAAAAATAAACTTGATCTATTTTGTCCTATTTCTGTTAGATGAAGAACAATTTTGGCCAAGCAGGTTGTTTTGTCATTTGATTTATCTAGTTTCCACACTTGTTTTACTACATATTCCCTACTCCAACATCTTGATCCCAAGCTCCCCAATTAAACAAAATAATAAATGATGTAACAATCATTGTAAGTTATTTATGAAGCCATAACTTCCTTTACTCTCTGACCCAATAACTTCTCATAATCCTGGTGATTTTGTAACCAAGTTTTCTCATCCAAATTTTTAAGGAACTGTGATTATTCTTAGTATATTGATTCTTTAAAATTGACTTGGCATTTATTTATCCACTATACGTTATGGAAAAATAAAATGGCTGCAGGTCCTGATTCAACCAGCACTGCAAGCCTTGTCATTTGATACACCTTCTTATCGGCAGAATGCTGTCAACACTCTAGTGGGCAGGTGAGTCTTTTCTCTTTCTTATTTCTGGAAGATTGATTGTTTGCTCTTTTACCCACATGTTTTGTAAACTTGGCAAACTATAACAGGCTGGCATTCATCCCTCGGCTTGAAACAAGGATGTGATTGTTGCTGGTGGACACAAAGAAACGTCAAGTGGCTCGTACGGCTTGTTGGTACAAATTGTATCGTTAAGAGTCCAATGACACACCACCTTCAGCAACTCCAACTCCTAATTTTTCTGTTGTCGTCTACTCCTGAAGCCTTGCCCTTAAAGGGTTTGCCTTAATACGGTAGAGATAAATCATTGAAGTTTTCTTTTCTTAGACGAGTCACCATTCAAGGATAAGAAGCCTGGCATTGTGTAGATCTGCCAATTTGCAATTAGGTTCACATTTTTTAAATAAATTTAACTTCGATAGCTGGGTTGTTTAATAAGCAGACCTGTTTACCCTCAAACTCTTAAACTCGTACAATATCTTCACAAAATCGTTCAATGCATAGTATAAATAATATATACACATCAAAATCGTCCACTGTACACCAAAATCGTAAGAGTAAACAGGTCTGTTGAAGCATAATTTAACTGTAAAGACTCCCTATAGGTTTTTCTGATATTAACTGTCATTTTATTGCATTATATTTTAGAACACAAATGATTCTTTTCTGGTGCCACTACCTAGACGTCCAGCCAACCCAAGGTACAATAAACTCATTTCAAAGTAACCAGCACCTCTCACCGAGTATAAAAAATTCCATTTACTCATTGTACATCTCGGAGCTCCAGCTCCCAGAGTGCATCAAAATCAATTACATCCCAAGCTCCTTGGCTAGACACTGCCCTGATTATGACAAACAGCTTGCTCAGAAACTGGAATCCAAAGTTGTTGACCCTTTTTTATCTCCGCTAATGGCCGACAATTTATCCAAACTGCCACGTGCCTACGTCCTGGTGTCTGAGTATGATGTTCTGAGAGATGATGGCCTGCTGTACGCCTCGCGGCTCAGGCAGGCTAATGTCCCTGTGGTGTTGAGGTATGTGAGAGATCAGATGCAGGGGTTTATGGCTCCAGCAATGTTTTCAGATTATTTCAAGTTCACAGCTGCTAATGTCACATGGTATGAGGTGTATGAATACATAAATCTAAATTTGTAACTTTAAAAATGGTTTAATTTTGACAATGTTTTCGTTTCTGACATGATTATGAAATGGGATAAAAATTGTATGACTTTGCCCCCTCAACGCCATGTACAGTATTTGTACAAGTGTCTTAACTCTTTTATCATATTGCCTATAAAATATCTAAAACTGTGAGTGTGGAGATAATATTTGGGTTTCAGATTCACAGTGAAGGCAATATTTTTAACATGTTTCTAAGCCTGTGTATACATGTTTATACTTTTTTTCAAAGTATTACGGAAAGAATCTGATTCTCTGATGGAATCCAGAAAACTAACTAACTCTTCTATTCTATGTCATTTTAACTTCTGAAAAACCAATGCTGTCAGGATAAAACTAGTTGGAAAAAAGATCGAATTTTACACCAGTATCCTGAATTATGTGAAGTCTCAAAAGGTGATTTGACATTCCTGGACAGAAAATCATTTATTTGGAAGGTGAAAATATTCTTTCTGGGCTGTTAAGAGGAACAAAAAAAAAGGGGGGTTCTATTATTTTAATTTATATCGTTGAAGAAATTGTCCTGCAAATGTTTTAGCGTAACAAAAAATTGAAAAATTGCCAGTTTAAAAGTATTCTGTATACATCAGTGTTACTTTATTATTTGTAACTAAGTATTAAATGACTTGTTCTAATGATTGTGTTTGCATTTTTTAAAATCAGGTCCAAAGTACTTGTGACAAAGCCTCGTTATTTGAAAAGTTTATTGTTGTGAGGTATTTTATTAGACAGATAAATTGCAAGATGTGTGATGAAAATCATGTTACAGTGACATGTTCTTTTTAAATCCTTTATATTAACTTTACTTGTTTCACATTTTTTTGTGGCAAAATCTTAGGAAGGTTAATGACCCACTTCTTGTCATGCTATCACGCTGAAATTTGGCACAAAGACTTGCAGATGAGAACACATTCTTTAAAGTTTTCAACCCACCCCCAACTCCCAAAAATCAGTTTTTCCTGTTTTTTCAAAATAACTTGTTGGGCCCTAAAATTCAAGAAAGGTAATACAGTTTAACCACTATTATAATGTTTTTTTTTACGGCTTTACTCCCTTAACAAGAGCCATTGCAATAAAAATCAAATGTATTTTTGAAGGGGAAAATGAAGGAAATATGAAATGTGTCTTAGCCAAAAGTTAACCCATTTACATAACCGCTTCTTAATAAATGATAAACCAGGTACAATTAAATAAATGCAAACAAAAATGCATATAAAGGATTTAAATGAAAAATTTAAAGTTTGTTAGCGGTTGTTTTTGTTAGACTTGCTTGGCTTATCATTGATTGCTGTTGAGGAAAAATATGTAAAAAAAAAAAAAATATTTAAAGATAGAAATTAAAGAAATGAAGATATTAAGTGAATGATGGAAAATTTTGTTGATGTTAAAACCACTTACTTGTCAAAATAACATACTTGTTATATGGTACCTCTGTTTAATACCACTATTTTTTAGTTTTATGGATATTTTTGTTATAGACATGAATTTTTAATATACACTTTATACCAAAATCTCATTTTAACTGGTGCTATAAATAATTTTTGTTTGTTATTTCATCTGGTGATTTTAAAGTTACTCAAACAAATATGCCTGTATTGTCTTTATTTGATAAAGTTTGTATTCTGTCTGAACTGTATGGGGTCTATTTTATGGTGTAATTCTGTATACTAAGTTTTTATTTTTAAATCAACTCTGGCCTTCTCTGGTGATTGATAATTATTTTTTTTTTTAAATTGGTGGTAAAACAGATTATAACAATAATTGTTTAAACAACACTACGTAGCCTTTTTTTTTTTTTAAAGTTAAAAAAAACAACTAATGCTGTGTTTAAAAACATTAAAATCTGATCTAGAATATTTGAGTATTGTGACTAGATACTTAGGCATGACATGGGATTCATCCATATATTCTCATGCTCTTTTTAAAGCTTCAAAAAAAAAAAAAAAAAGAAAATTAGATATAATTGATCAACACCAGGATGACCATACTCTAAAGTATAGGAAATCCCTTTAGGAGCATAATACATCTCTTTTCATGTTTAAAAAAAATTAAAAATTGAGCCGGTTAAAAACAAATTCAGCAATGGGAATATGTTCTGCACATGATCTCATAAATGTTAATGACAGAGCAAGGGGTTTTAGTTTGTGTAGCTGAGCTGCCTGGAAGGTCTCCTTCCTGATATAGGTTTCTTGACCTCGATCACGACATCGTCGTCAGGTTCAGGAGCTGGAGTGATGAGCTGGAAAGGTTGAACCTGAAATAAGAATTAAAATCTTGGGTTTTGTCCCATATTTATATAAGTATTTTAGGGGAGGATAAAAAATTAAAAATAATCCTCTTTCTTAACACAATTTTAGTTTTAGTTTATACTCATGTTATATGTGTATCTTTTTTCAATCTTCTGTGTAACTTAACTAGCACATCCCTACCTCTAATAGGTATTGAATTTCAAAGACATTTGATAACTTTTAAAAATATTTAAAGCTAATTGCCTAAATTCTCTGAATATTATTTTTAAAAAATTCAAATATATAATATTTTTTTTTAACATGTATAAGTCGATAACAAATTTTTTATGCAAGTGAACTATTCAGACCACTGATTTATTTTTAATAGCAATCTGTTCCATTTTAATATTCATTCACACCTTATTTGAGACTTGCGGTCAGGACTGTGTGTGACCCTAGCCCTTTTTCTATGTGTGACAATAATTTTGTTTCATTACTTATGACTTATGTTACAATTTTTTTTCCTTGCATTACTTTTTCCCATAAAGTTAACACAGTTTATGTATAAATAGTAAACTGGAGCTCTGAAATAAAGTAAACAAAGATCACTGGATTGACAAAGTACATTTTTGTTTTTAAAGACGGGCTCTGCAGTTGACTTATTTAGAGCCCTTGCTGCAAATCAAATTTATTTCCGGGATAATATTTAAGAGCAGTGAACATGAACTCACCTCATGTTCGAAGCATCCAAAAATATAACGCCCTGGCCCATAAGGGGTCCTTCCAATAAGAAAATTAGCAAAAAGCTGTTCATAGCTGTCTGCGTTGAGTGGGTATCGGCCGCCCTGCAAATGATCATAAACCACCCTAAAATTCAAATTCGAATTATTCGAAATAGTGATAATGTTAAGAGTTGTGTAGGTAAAGGGAATAACTGAATTTATCGATGGAATAACTACTGCTTTATCCTGATAGAAAATTTAAGATTTCCATAATGGCCACCGTTGTCCTCTAAGACTTCTTCTGTTATACTTTTATAGGCACATGTTAAAGGCACTTTTCACTTGGTGAATCTACAACTAAAAGTTTAAATCACACTTACATCTGTCATTTGTTGGTAAGCGTTAATGGCGATTTCGCGCGCCTGTTGAGGATCAAGGTGAACCATCTCTTTATAAAAAATTTCAAGGTCATTGGCTGTTAAGTAGTCTTGACCTGTGAATCAACAGAAAATGAAAGTTCGTGAAATTTATGGAATAAAAGTTACAATCAGAGAGCAAATTTCAAAGGATGCGGCGATTTGGACCCGTTGAGAGTTTGGGTTTATTAAAAAATATTTAAAAATTATTTTGAAGGGTTTGTAAGACAAAATTTGTTATCACATGAAAGACAAATGACATCAGAATAGAATTTAGTCAAAATGGAACCGGAAAGGCATCACCGCTATTCGGACCCGGGTCCCTTTAGACTCAAGCTATTCGGATGTCATTTGTGGTAGTTTATTTAGTTAAACTGAAGAAGTAAGTTTACAAACATATAGTCCATTCAATCATCCTTCATTTGATACCAAATTTAGTCTTACAATTAACAATAATATTGTATTTTAAATTTTAATCCTAACCTCTCACTTCGCGGACCTGTGTCCGAATAGCCACTTCGAATTTCAAATGCACAGACATTTAATAATAATGAATTTTTAAAAATAAATTAAATATTTCCTATTATGGGTCCCCCAAAAAGCTTTCAGCACGTTACAAGCTGGAAGGCACTTGAACAGAAGCTCGTCTACTTTACTAACTGTTTGGAACAGGAGGATGACTCACGTCTTCTGTCTACAATTTTAAACAAAAGTTGTGGCATCAGTCTCAACCAGACGGGCAAGTTGTGCATTGACATGACTCCTGGCAGAATACTTGACCACATGAAGAGCCAATTCTTCAGGTCAACCTTTCCCACTGGAGAAGAGAGAGATAAAGATATTATTTTCAGCACCCCGATATAATTGCTGTCAAGGTTATTAAATGAAAATTGAAATAGTCAGTGCATAGTTTCGGTGGACCGAGTATAGGGAATAAAACGAACTGAAAGCTAACCGATGAAAGGTTTACCAATAAATGTAAAGACCATCAACAAAAAGTCAAGACAAATTAATGTTTATTATGCTTCAGTTTTAAAAAAAATTAAATAAAATAAAGAAAACAAGAAATTTTATTTATAAAAAAAAAAAACTTTAGCAAACCTTTGAAGTTGGAGATAATATATTTATATATATATTGTAAAGGACTCATTAATTAAGTAGTGGTTATCATTCTATCCCACAATTCTTGACAATTTAAACAAGTAATAAAATCCCCATTGAGTTATTCTTTGATTTAACTCCCTTGCCGTACCGGTTCCCTCCTCTTCTTTGGCCTTCTCGAACAACAGCTCAAAAAATGCCTCGTGCACCTCCCGGCATTCCTTGGCCCGTGGGCTGTCTTCATCCCAACCCGTGAAGTCTTGAATTCTCTGGAAAGGATGTGAGCAACGTTTCATGACACTGAAAGGCTTGGCGTCCTATGACTAATGACGATTATTTTTTTAATTTTGGGGGGTATTAAAATCATTAATACTTTGTGAAAACTTAAAATTTTGGGATTTAACAATAATGATTTTTTTTTTTTGAGGTCCTCGAAAGGTTGGGTGGCCTGGGATCGTAATCTCTCTCTCTCTCTCTCAGCCTCTGAAAAAACACAGAACTGAAGATCCTTAGCCTTGGAAGAGATAAGGTAGGCTGCCATTACAGCAATAATGCTACAACTCATACATGTATGCACATACTAACAACAGATTAGATTTTACTAACACAGGGTCTCATAGATCCAACAATGTTAAGGGTGGGGGAGGTAAGTCTATTTTTTATTATGAACAAATGGAGAAAAAAATCGTTATTGGTAAATTGAATTTGGTGACATCTTGAAGATTTGTATTTTATAGGTATCTGTTTTTTTCCATTCATATATAACGTATACTTTTTATCCTATAGACCGAGTTCTTATGTTATTATAATGTGTGATAAAAGATATCATTACGGGGGCCAATTTGTCCACATCTTAAGTCCGTTTCATGTCAAGGATTACGTTGAATTTACGGTACAGATATATCCTGTCACTTGAATCACAATGAATTGAAATTTATTTTAAAAATTAGCTTCATAACGGCAGTTACTGACATTGGTAATATCATGGGGAATTTCAACAAAAGACATAAAATAGGTAGAATATAGATTAACGCACAAATACACTGGATTTAAATCAAAATTTGATATTTTTTTTAGAGAAGAGCAGCAAAAAAAAAAGCTCAATTTGTTGTGGCGTGTTGCAACTTTCGAATGAGATCAAGGTCAGGGACGTTTTGAAGACTAGATCGTGAAGTACCGTCACGGTTGATGAATAAATTTAATACCAGGTGGTGCCGACACTGCACTCCATCAAGGTTGACGCACCAGGTGCGAATTCCTTCAATTGCGCCGCCCCCCCACCCCCGGCCAGACCCCATTTTTTTTTTTTTTAAATCAGTATGTTCAGTATAGCATAGCTACACATGCGTAGTAATATTTTTTTCAAATTGAATCTTATGAAAGAAGTCTTGATTCCTTTGCATATATGAAACACTACTCGCACTTCAACTTCAACCAAGCCTCACACTTGAGAGTGAACAAACCCGACAGGTGAGTAGACGGGTGTGTAGACGCATGAGTAGACAGATAAACAGGTGAGTAGACAGATGAGAAGACAAACAAGCAGACAGGTGGGCAATGTTTTCCTCTAAGGTTTGTTGGTTCGTGTGCAAAATCATACAGTTGTGTGCAAAGTTTTACACCATCAATTTTTTTGTGGTCAAAACTTTACAGCGCACAAACACTCACTTACATGGACATTTGCTGCGCGGTACTCAAAACTGCTGCGCAGCGCCTGTGAGACAGCTGCGCGGCCGCGCAGCCGCGCAGCTTAAAGGGAACATGGGTGGGTAGACAGATGAGTATGCGGGTGATTAGAATCTATACTTATGAGTGAAATTGATGATATTTGAACATTAAAAAAAACATTTTTTTTTTTGTTAAATGGAAGAGACAGACTTCTCGGAACACGTAGGCAGTGTAAAAATGACTCATTGGCAGTTCAGTACTGGTGCGTCGCGTGAATTGTGGCTTAAAATAAAATCCTTGAAATTATAATATATATAATAAAGAGAGTAATTAGACTCGGATTTTCATTTAAGTTAATCTAGGCCAGGGCCTAGGGACACAGCAGTCCGGGACGTATAGACAGACAAAATAACAACCAAATATTTACACATTTTATAGTATTATTTTGAAAACGTAAGTCCATACAAATTAAATAAATTAAGTGGTACAATAAAGTTTGTCTATCTCTAAAGCTGGCAATTTCTTGCCCAATCACATGGTTGCTGATGTGGAGCTACGGCCGATCTGACCAGCCTCTATCGAAATTAAGATTATAGATGCGAATCAAAAGTTTTAAATTTTTAAAGGGGGATAGCTCTCATCATATATATTTACTCACCTTTTATTGAAAAAAATATGGTAAAACTTTAATGGTGTGGGGAGGGGGGTGGGGGGCGGTGCGCACAATTCTGTGCCTCGGCCTATGGCGCATAAATGTGTAAATCCGGCCCTGCTTAGACTCACATTATTATGGTTGCATGCTTAAAATGGTTGGATTTGAAGTTAATCCTTTCAAAGTAAATCATTGAAAATTTCTGCTTCTCACGAGTCCTTAATATTTTAATTTAAAAAAAAAAAATTATTTTAGGGACCGTTAATAAATTACATCAACAAAATATTGGCGGAGGGTATGGACGTCATTTGGGTAGGGCATTTCCCCACCCCTAGAAATTTTCAAATTTTATTTAAGTTGCTAAGTACTGTGAAGTCTTCAGTAATAAACAACTTAGCAAGCCAACAAGTTTTGGTTTTGCCCCCTCCCCCTGAAAAAAAATGAAATGACACCCCTGGCGGAGGGGGTGGAACAAAAATTGGCCATTTTAGACAAAAAGAGGGAGGGGTGGGTCAAAATAAACTGACGTCAACAATTCTTGGTTAAATTGATCTATTAAAACATAATAATAAATTTTACTAGATAATTTGTTACAAAATATTCGTTCTTTTTCATGGCTACAAAAATGCTTGTAAGTTCAAGTGATGAGAACCGCACCGTTGGTGCGTCATTGGGCGTAAGAAATTACCACCTGCTCATCAAAAAAACAAAATAAACAAATAAAGTGCGGCTTATTCGAGTGGCTGCCAAATGACAGGTTGGGGTGATGACAAGTATTTCACAAAGGGAAAATGCTGCTATTTTAAGCGTTGATGATGTTAGACTAGACCAGGATGATGTCAGACTAGACCAGGATGATGTTAGACTAGACCAGGAGGATGTTAGACTAGACCAGGATGATGTTAGACTAGACCAGGATGATGTTAGACTAGACCAGGAGGATGTTAGACGAGACCAGGATGATGTTAGACTAGACTAGGAGGATGTTAGACTAGACCAGGATGGTGTTAGACTAGACCATGTGCAGGATGTTAGAATAGACAAGGATGATGTAAGACTAGACCAGGATGATGTTAGACTAGACACGAATGATGTGAGACTAGACCAGGATGTTAGAATAGGCCAGAATAATGTCAGACTAGACCAGGATGATGTTAGACTATACCGGGAGGATGTTAGACTAGACCAGGAGGATGTTAGACTAGACCAGGATGTTAGAATAGACAAGGATGATGTTAGACTAGACCAGGATGATGTCAGACTAGACCAGGATGATGTTAGACTAGACCAGGATGTTAGAATATACCAGAATAATGTCAGACTAGACCTGGGTGATGTTAGACTAGACCAGGATGATGTCAGACTAGACCAGAATGATGTTATACTAGACAAGGATGATGTCAGCTGGATCGATAATAATATTAATACGGCAAAAAATAAATTAATCATTTACTGTGCGCCATTGCAAAAGATGGATTTTTATGAAAAGAAACTAGCAATACATTTCCTTACAATAATATTCAGACCACATAAATTATTTAAATAAATTCATCCTTATAAAATTTACTCTATTCATAGATTGTATCTGTTAAAAAATTTTAATTTTATAGATGTTTTTAAAAAAAGGTTTCGTATTTTCGTATTCCGGAGAATAAACTGCGGTATCTTAAATCTGGTTTTAAAAAAATAAACTTTACAATTCTTTTATGGGCCAAGAATTTGTGTAATCTCTGACTCCACATTCATTGTCTCTTTTTTTTTTGGTCAAGATTATTATTATATTTTTAAAAATTATTTTGCTGGAATTTGTCTCCCTTTGAAACAATGCCGCCAATATTGCCTGTCCACCTAAAGCGGCAACTGATTGATTATCCTTGATATGTTTAAACGCAAAAAAATCCTTTCAAGAAAGGCGACACCAAATAGAAAATTGAAAGCTCCACAGAGCTCGCTGGACGGGCGAATGCCAACAGGCAGTAGACACAATACAAAAGTATTTAATTAGTAAGCCTATTTTAACATTACCAGACAATAACAAAACTTTTACAGATTAAAGCTAAATCAAATAGCAGGGAGCTGCCAGTGCACATTGTCACTTAAGCAAGGTGTCATCAAAGCAGGGTGTAACCAGAGCAAGGCGTAGTCAGAAAAGGGTATCAGCCGAGCAGGCAGACTCTGAGGAGCTTCAAGGGCATCTCTGAAGGGTTGACACCACGAGTTCACCAAAAACTTTACCCGTTTGAAGCTAACAAAAAGTTGATTAAAAAGCTTACCGCCATCAATCGGTTGATACTACTTTTTTCCAAATAGCCATCTTCATTGGGGGCTGAAAGAAAAAACGAAGTTCGATCAAAAAAGAGTTTACTCCAACACTGAGAGAGGATTTAACGATCATATGGTTTCATGGGCATCTGGAGGGGGGAGAAAGGGGGAGCAAAAACCAAGATTTTTTTAACATTTTGTCATGAAAGGGGGAGCAAAAACCAAGATTTTGTTAACATTTTGTCAAAGTGCTAATGTTTTGTGTCATAATACTCACATTTTGTGTCACAATACTCATATTTTGTGTCACGATACTAACATTTTGTCAAAATACTATTTCTAACATTTTCAAGCTTCTCACTCACCTACCCACTTGATTTTTCAGTCATCTAGCTTACTATATGATGATGACGATTGACTTCTTTTATAGCGCTTGTGTCCATCATGCTTACTATAGCTTACTATGGCATACTATACGTTGTTAAAACTTACTGTAGCTTACTATATCTTGACCATAACTTATTTATTTTAATATTTGCGTTGTCGAATAGCAGCTTTAAAAAAGCGTCATTTTGTGTTTGTTTATGACATCAGTGGATTTGTTGTCAAAAAATTAATTTCATAATTCTTAATATTATATTACGTAGGCTAAAGCAGCGGTTCTAAACCTTCTTTATGCCGCCACCCTCATGTTGTGGCGATCCCCAGCCATAAAAATATTTTGGTTCCTACTTCATTAATATGTGTTGTCCGATGGTCTTATGCGACTCCTGTGTAAGGGTCGTTCGACCCCACCCACAGGTTGAGAACCGCTGGACGATAGCATAATATAGCTAGATTGACATTAACTTAATTGATCCATTCATTTCTGGGCACTCACAAAAGTTATCATTTGAAACACCAGCCAATGGGGTAAAAAAAAACTCCACCCTTACCGCAGATATGTATATAATTATATTTTTTAAACAAACTTTGTTAATAGTATTATTTATATGAAATAAATTGATTTGCATTCATCATTGTTTGTTACATTTGTTGTATTATATTGTTTCTCAAAGATTTTGTTATGTAAATACTTAAATTAATGCCAACTATGAAAAATACCAACTTTGTCCCGTCCCCCCCCCCTCTTCCACCACACCTACATTTTTTGTTGTTGCTAATAGTTCTGCGAACGTCCATGCATGTTTTTGTTCTGAACACTTGCGTTACTGTTGAAGGAAAAATTTAATTTTAAGAGTTATTTAAAGAATATAGAAAAAAAATCTTACATAAGAACCGGAAATAGTACTCCAGCTTCTCCTTCTGGAAGGGAGACAACTGTACTGGTCTGGTAGATGACATCGTAAGTCACTGGCCTGCCAAATAAAATGTCACAGTGAACATCTCTTGATGTTACTAACGACAATCGGCACAATGCAAAATGAATAAATAATAATAATAGTTATGCATTTAGTATAAATTTTTATACAATATATAAAATGAAAAGACGAGGGAATTTAAATGTTACTATACTACAATACCACAGTGCTGTGGCGGCTGCGTAGATAAGGTTAGTAAAGATGGGGTGTATGAGTTAGATATCATGGACATGGAGATAGCACTGAATGTAAGATGGCTTGTGCTCTACCCAAAACTTTTTGGAACTGTATGCACAAAGTGAGAGAGCCACATTTAGAATTATAAGTTGTTCATTTGTAGGGTTCAGAAAGATGGCGGTCCGTAAAGTGAGATCACCGGAAAAGACCGCAAACCTACATAGAATCCCCCTACATCGGGTGGGTCCAAAAAATCCTAAATACAGCTGATAGGTCATACAATAATCTAATCTATCACAAACATAATAAGAAAATCACTGGTGGAACCCTAGAGGATAAAGAAGACGATGTGAGAAAAATGCGCTGTTAAATTAACTTAATTAACGAATTGAGGAAGGGAAAGTAAGTGCACGGTGATTGGTCGCACAGTGGAAGCGCTCGGTGATTGGTCGTACAATGGAAGCGCTCGGTGATTGGTCGTACATTGTAAGTGCACCCTGATTGGTCGTACTTTGTAAGTGCACGGTGATTGGTCGTACAGTGTAAGTGCACGGTGATTGGTCGTACATTGTAAGTAAACGGTGATTGGTCGTAAATTGTAAGTGCACGGTGATTTGGTCGTACAGTGTAGTGGGGGCGGCGTTTGTGGGTGAAAGAAAACAGGAAGGCATGAATGTGATTCAAACGACAGAGCATTCGGTTCTTGTGATTTGTAATAGCAGCAAATTTGGAATTTGCTCCCCTCCCCCGCCCCCGCGGCATTTTATCATGTATTTTACGGGGCGGCATTTTCGGTCATCTGTAGAGTTTTCGTGTGTGTGCGGAGGGCGTAACCAAAAAGCTTTGTCCGCCCCGGGCCAGCACTGGGTTAGTTGGATGGCGGGCCCTCATTCTGTGTGTGTGGGGGTGGGGGGCGGGACTGAGGTGTTTATGAAAAAGCAGTTCCATTGATTGATTCGAAAAATGAGTTTTCTTAGTTTACACAACCCATTCAAAAGAAGCAACGTTGGGCGTTAAAATAAATAAATTGGAAGCTACTTCCAGTTAAGAATATCGATCCAGTTAATCGCCTAAATTATAAAGCAGCGCTTCTCAAACGTTTAAGCTTGGCGGACCAGTGGACACGTTTTGAAATTGTACCAAGGACCGGTGGACACGTTTTAAAATTGTAACAAGGACCGGTGGGCACGTTTTGAAATTGTACCATGGACCGGTGGACACGTTTTGAAATTGTACCATGGACCGGTGGACACGTTTTGAAATTGTACCATGGACCGGTGGACAAGTTTTAAAATTGTACCATGGACCGGTGGACACGTTTTGAAATTGTACCATGGACCGGTGGACAAGTTTTGAAATTGTACCATGGATGGGTGGACACGTTTTGAAATTGTACCATGGACCGGTGGACGCATTTTGAAATTGCACCCTGGACCGGTGGACACGTTTTGAAATTGTACCATGGACCGGTGGACACGTTTTGAAATTGTACCATGGTACGTTGGACACGTTTTAAAATGTTACCATGGACCGGTGGACACGTTTTCAAACTGTACCAGGGACCGATGCCAGATTTATTAATTTAATTATTTTGTTTTCTTTTTATTCGACCAGAACTATTCATGTTGTGCGGGAACCGGCAACGTAAGGCTAGCGGACAGGCGCTGGCCCGTGGGCCACCGTTTGATCATCTCTGTTCTAAAGCATCAATTTGAACAATGCGCATTTCACTGGCAATGTTCGGTAATACGGGAAGCCGGAACTCCGACACCCCTTCAATGTTCAATGCGCCCCTATCTCTAAGAGGCGATACGCTCCCCCATCCCCCGTCTTCAAATTACCCCCCTGTGGGGCCTATGCACACACTGCATTGCCCATTACTCACGCAGTCAGCAGAAAATGCACACTTCTTTATTCCATGTGTACACGCTGCACACTTTGCGCGTCAAATTGTGTTCCATTCGTATATCTTGGACTCTTCCCTTGCCCTGGAGGGATGTATCCACACCCAAACAGTCACACAATGCATTACCTGTGTATCCACAACCAACAGTCACACAATACCTCAGTATGTATCCACAACCAACAGTCACACAATACATCACGTATGTATCCACACCCAACAGTCACACAATACAGCAAGTGTGTATCTACAACCAACAACCATGCAATGCATCACCGTATCACTATCGATTTTTCACGTGTTCCCCCCAACAGTGGCTGGTTATAAACATTGCAACGCCGACACGTTTCCCAGAATCAGAGGCCACACTTCGAAATCAACATGGACTGTCCTTGTAGCGTGCATAGGTTCCAACGTGGTGAGAGATACCACTAGTAGGGGTTACAGTGGTTTCGCAAGTTTGACAAGGAATGGTTCATGAACACCCTTAAAAAGCTCAGAGTATGAGATACCCAGTAGAAAATAAATCGTGGTATTCCACAGTCGAGTTCGATTCTTGTCTCAAAGCCAGAGCCATTAAGCTTTGGCTTTAACACTAACCCCAGCCTTGAACACCATAACAGATTTTACCTTGACCTACATTTACCGCATTTTTTTTACATATAAATGTTACGTTTATTTAGAAATGTTCAGTTAACTAAAAAAAACAAACAACAACAACAAAGGAACAAATAAATAAACAAAACATAACCAAAACAAAATTTGTTTTCCCCTGGACTGCACTTTTACCATTTAAACCACCTTCTACATGCATCAGTGATCAGATAATTGTTTTTTTTTTTTTTAAATTCTGTTTGAAAACCAGCGAACATGATCATGAGCTAGGCCTGCCAGCATGTCCTACTGCCCTAAATTTGTCACGCGCTCTCATTTCCTAAAATAAAAAAAAACAACAACATACGACTGCTCCGACTATTTATATCTGACTTGTACACAAACATTCAAAATGATTACTCTAATACTTACGCTGGACACAGTGTTATTTTAAAAAAATCTGGGTAACAAATGGGTAGCAATACCGATAACTCCACTGGAGAAAAAGAATAAATACATTTGGAGAAAAAAACAAATTACCGTAATATTCACAGCTGTGTGTAGTGGATGTTGACGGCTAGAATATCGACTGTGGGGTTTTTGTATCACGTTCACTGGTTGCCCCCCGTCTCTTGTGTGGGGGTATCAGCACGCCGGCCAGCTTTGCATTTAGATAAAATGGTTTTTAAGCTCGCGCGCTGACTTATTTCATCATCGCCAGATTTCTTCGTGTCGGCACAACGTGAGAGAAGTTGTACAATCTTTCAGTTTAACAGCAAATTTAAGTGTAACTCGAATGTTTAAATATACACGACAGCAACTGTCACTGCATATGGAAATGCAACGGTCACTACTGTTTATTCCCTAAACGAAAAACATACATTCCAGAAAGTTATTTGTTTCCCCCCCCCCCAAAAAAAAAATGTGGCACAATTTCTGCTGCTGCATCTTTAGAGCATTGTAATTTTTTGTTTTTAAATACCAAGGCGCTGCCTATCTGATTCAAACATTCTCTTTCTGCTGGCACCACTGTCATGCGAGCGCTTATTTTATTTGGTTCCGAGAGTGCAGCAACAATGAACCCTTATCACCTTTAATGAGACGGGTGTCTGGTATGTATTTTTGCCATTTTTTTTTCTTCTTGAGACTATAGCTCTATATATAGATATTAAATACCGCTCCCTTCTAACAAAACAACCGTCGTCTGATAAAATATGATATCACCCGGCTTGTGGGGGTGGGGTGGAGTATAATTTTTTAAAAATAACATTACTATATAACCTGGTCAAGGTTAAGGCCACGTCTAAACGACGTAAACGTCCCAATGAAAGTCATTTTAAAATGATCCGTTTTGTTCAACCTCGTACACGCACAACACTGGGAACCATGGTAATAAATAGTTCGCACTATTAGTTATTTCTTTTTACTAAGCGATGTAAATGTAAGAAATTCCTCACTCGCTTTAAAAAAAAATATTAAAAAATCACCTGCACAACAAACAACACAACGGAAAAGCTTAACCTGCTAGCATTGACACAGCACACTTACATTGTCACTGCGTGGGCCAAGACGTGATCTTGCATTGTTTAAAACAAAAAAAAACACACTGACACTACTTTATCACAGTCGTAGTGTGGCCAGTGTAACGCTTTTTAATGATGAGGGGGGGGGGGGTTGGGGTGGGGGAGGGCGTGGCCCACAAACGTGTGTTAATGTCGCGTTGAAATTCGTGAAAGGAAACAAGATAAGAAAGAATGGAATATAGGAGGAGGGGGGGGAGGGGGGACATGCAGGGAAAGGAGGAGGGAATGACAGAGAGAGAGAGAGAGAGAGAGAGAGAGAGAGAGGAACATGAAAGTGAAAAGTAATTAATTTAGATGAGAAGGGAGGAAGAAAGGAGAGAGTGTGATGAAAAATAAAAAAATAATAATAAAACAAGGATAAAGGAAGGAAGGGGGGGGGGG